TAATCTAAATATTTTAGAGACAGGAAGGTAGATCTTGTAGTACAATAGCAGTATATGTTCTTGAGAAGCAACTTGACAAATATATCCTTGATGTGAAACTAAACAATCTTTGAGACACTATACAGATGAGTGGGCCAGCTATTATAGACAAGCTGTATTTATATGTATGTACATATCCTGCAATAAACCCGGGTTAACACAACCTCAGGTTCAAAGTCAGGGGATGAACTTATGGAAGGACCATGATGTTTAATGTCTTTTGTTATAAAAAACCAGGCATTGGCTAATTGGCTGATGGATATAGTATTATGTATATGTTTCAACATTGCAAAGTTAAAAATCATTTGATAGTGATTTCTCTTTGACTCTATACATATTGTTTGTTTGTTTGCTGGATTAATTGTCTCATAAACAGCCAGGGTCATTTTGTGATCTCCTTGTAGTAGCTGGTGGCAACCTCGCTGAACAGCATACAGGAGGCCCATCCAGAACAATCAGGGTAAAGTGTCTTACTAAACGACATAAACTTGTTTGTAGGGAACATCAGACTATGTACCTTGGATCCTCAGCTTACGTTATATAGACCAATACTCTATTGGGAACCCATTATATGTTTAGGTAGATAATGTGACTTTGTTTAGAGGGTATACTTGGATAATGATATGTGATTTTGTTTGGAGGGTATACATCGATAATGATATGTTATTTTGTTTAGAGGGTATACTTGGATAATAATATGTTATTTTGATTGGAGGGTGCACATGGATAATGATATGTGATTTTGTTTGGAGGGTATACTTGGATAATAATGTTATTTTGTTTGGAGGGTATACTTGGATAATAATGTTATTTTGTTTGGAGAGTATACATAGATAATGAGAGATTATTTTGTTTGGAGGATATATACGGAGCACATTGTATTTCATGTTCTTTACTTTAAACTTTTTTCAGTCAGGTCTTTTTGAATGGTCTGAATGTAGATATAGTGTTATAATACCCAAAACAAGAACAGATGGATAGACAGAGGTCAGAGGTCAGAGGTCAGATCTGTTTTATACTGCCATGTTACTACAGTGTTACCAAGTTGATTTTTTCCTGTAGATTAGAGGATATTAATACCCTAGTATTCTCCCAGCCTCCGTACCTACAGGGGAATTGTGTTTTTATAGAAATGGTTTGGTCAGCTGCTCACCATCAATTCCCAGACTGGCTGTATCAGTAATGGACAGTCTAATTACTGGCTATCAGACTGACCAGCTGGTGACCTTGAGATATGACCATGGTATATGGACATGGTCAAGCGATCTGGCCAGACTATAATGACCATACACTTAACGTGTCATGAGAAATTCTTCCCTGGTCCAGTGATTACAGGGGAGATAATTATCGTGTCACTGTAATGGTTTCATTGACTTTAATTGCTTGATTTAACCTATATAGGTCTATATTTATAGGCCTGAATCCTGGGGAGACCTGAATCAAGATACAATGTAGCACCTACCAAGACCTGTATGCTTGAATATGAGGGCTTTTAAGTCTGAATATGTGAATATCACCTCTGTATCAAGGCTTGAATATGTGAATTTCACCAGTTAAAATTCCTAAATATGTTTATATCATCTGTATAAAGTCCTAAATATGTGAATATTATTTGTATAAAGTCCTAAATTTGTGAATATTGCCTGTGTATCAAAGCCTGAATATGTGAATATCAGCTAAGCTCCCTATGAAGGCCAAAATATTTCTAAATTCATCCAGCATGACTTGTAATAATCCTAATAAGTGTCAGTTGTAGTGTCTGTAGAAGTGCCAACCTTATTGTCAGTCTGAAATAAGCCTGTGACCTAGTTTGACTGAGAAGCTTATTGCAAGATAAAAATGATACTTCTGTTTAGTTATTTAGAGGGAAGTGAAGACCTGAATCCAGCATTTTTCAATCGGGGAAAAAAAGCAGTCTTCTCTTAAGCTTTTGTTTGTCTTCTATCAGCAGTGAATAAGTCAATTACTACAAGTGCCCATTACACTATTGATGTTTTAAATGTATATCGTTTCAAAATGACTTTTCAGTTCAACAAATAAAAAGAACTCAGAATTTCATTGAGAACCCTTTCAATTGGAAACAAACATGGGTATTAAATATTTGAAGCATGTTAATGTTTCCAAACCTCACTAGTGACACTAGTATTCTTCCCCTCTACTTGTGCACCCATGCAAGCAAAAACAAGATTCCCTGCAGAAATCTATTGTCATTTCACCATGGACATTTGACCCTTAGGTTAAACATTTACAAGCAATGAGACATTTCTACAAAGCCTTTATAATAAAGCTAGTCAAAAGGGATTCAAATAAAAGCCACACATTTCCCAAGTACACTTCTTGAATAACTGTACAGATTTTTAGTATTAACTTAACACCTCCAACTAAAAATACTCAAAACATGTGTTTGATGTGCTTTAGGAACTTTTTTCAACTGTTGAAAAAGTAAGAAATTTGCAACTCCAAAAGCACTTGTTATTTTTGACAGAGGATATGCTGTAATGATACCGGTCTGTGGTGAGTCTTACTGTATTTACCCGACAATAAGCCCATGTCTAGTAATAATTCTATCTTTATATATTACAATTTCAATATGCCTACATTATCATCAGCCTTTAGTAATCTTTTGGACCTTCCTACTTTGAGTCAGAAAAGTCTAGTGTTGACCTCCAGGGTCCTGTAAATAAGCCCACCTCTTTGCTTGAGTTAGAGATTACATGTTGCCCTATAGGTTCCTGTAATAAGCCTACCTCATAACTTTGAATCAAAAGGTTATGTGTTGGCACCAAGGAGTCCTGTAATAAGCCCACCCTCTGACTTTGAGCCACAGATAACATGGGAGTGTACAGAAGAACATAGTTGTAGAACACTATCAACAGCATGATGAACTGATTAATGTCTGGGTTCCCTGACTTGGAATTATCTTCTGTAGTTATCTCTCTGAACAAATGACCAGTGAGAACAGATTTGTATAGAGTTATTTCTCACTCCCATCAACTGTAATTGTTAAACTAGAGGCAGTGTGGGGGTCTTTTATACGTTTTCACCTGATCATTATATATATAAACAGGTATAACTTTCTGGTCAGTCTACAGCTGCTGTACCTGTCTGTAGATGTAAAGCCCTACACCAACATTATACTATGAATTCCTCATTAGATCTTGTTTGCTACAGTTCTGGTAATGCTCTGGTCCATTGGTGTGATGTCATTAGATAAAAAAAATATCTTACAATTAAAAAAAAAAACGGATGCTTTCATACATACATATAGAAAATTCCTCTGGTGCTGTAGGTATATATATGTAGTATCTCTATCCTCATATTTCTTCCAGAAAGCTAGGTTTTGATTCTCTGATTGATGATCACATAGTTGCCATAGCACAAGTTTTCACCAGTACTCGGACCACTGCATATTTCCATCTCGGCCAACAAGAATGATGTATATAAATTGATTGTAAAACTTTTGTAAAACTTAATATAAAACAAGCCAATAGTGCTTGTAACACTGATTACATTTTTTTCATCTGCAGTCAAATATTTTGAATCTTAATTAGCTGTCCTTTTTGATAGGCAGATGTAAGATTTTTCTCAACAGGAGTGAAAGGAACTACATATGTTGTTTATAGGTATCAATGTTGTGACTTTCATATACATTTACAAGGTATCAACATAAACATGTTTTGTCCGAAACATTCAAAGCAAAAGGTGAATGTATTAATTGTGTTGTTGAATTTCTTCAACTTGTCCTTATATCTGTTCATTTAAATCAATTATGTATATTTAAACTTGTATACTTATTTTAACCTGTATGGATTTGAAATTTCCGGTTTTTAATGACTAAACCACTTGCGTCAAAGGTGAGGTGTTATATGTTTAGCCGCACTCGGTATTACGATTATGGATTTCAAATCCTGAGGATGTGGTGGGTTAGTTATATCCGGGTCGGTCAATCAAAACAACGGTCAGTGTGTCTAACCGCCCTACCTCGGGAACAAACAAGGGGAGGGAGATTTGTTCTGGACACAAAGCTTGTGTTTTCTACTGTTTGTAGTTGAATGCTTCACTGGGTATTTTTGCTATCATTATGTAAATATCACATACAAATTTTACATTCCTTTTCCACTGTACCGATAAACAAATATTTAACGCTGTTTAAGAAGCTCTCACTAATCCTGCTTGTTAGGAGTTCCATAAAGGGAGATAATCCTCTTACCTGACCATGATATTGTCTGACTTACCTGGATCCAATTAACCTCCAGATAACGGTCACTTTGTCTTGATGAATTAACCATGATTTTGATAAGTTTTTCTGTTCAATGGTCAAGTGCCTGTTGCTTCAATGTTTAAACGAACATTATTTAATCTTTTCCTTGGAAGATCAGCATTGAAGTGTATAAGATCTAGAAAAAATTTCCAAAGTCATTATGCTTGATTTTCATAGCCTTGGGGTGTAAGATTGAAGCTGGTTAAAGTTAGAAAACTGGAGCCACTATCAGCTAAGAGTTTTCTGTACAAATGTGTATGTAGTTAATAAGTATTATAAAGTTAGAAAATACTGAAGTGTAATTGTTAAATTGTAGATTTATCGTTTACAACCTGTATCTAGGTTTTCAGATTAATCATAACTCAGCTAAATTTATGAAAGGGACCTTTTACTTTGATAGGTGTTTGAATAACTGTGGCAGTTTTGTACATCCAGTTTCAATTTGTTTAAAGTGATTTTAATGATAATCTCCTGATGAATCCAGGAATTTACTTTGTCATTTAACTTTTAGTTTTGCAGTTTCATAACTATAAAATCAATATCTCATACGATTTTATTTAAAAAGTTAACTATTTTTAAAAAAAAAAGGAAGATAAACAACCATCCTCCCCTCATAAAGCTGATTTTGAAAATACAATGTGTTACTTTTTCTTGTGATAGGAAAACAGAACTTAAAATTTGATTTGTTTTTGTGTTATAGGAGGTGTTACAACAGTTACTGATTACAAAGCCGCCAAATGTCAATATCATCTGTAGACACCCAGAAAGTGGTAAGTCATTTGATGTCTACCTCATCTGTAGACACCCAGAAAGTGGTAAGTCATTTGATGTCTACCTCATCTGTAGACACCCAAAAAGTGGTAAGTCATTTGAGGTCTACCTCATCTGTAGACACACAAAAAGTGGTAAGTCATTTGATGTCTACCTCATCTGTTGACACCCAGAAAGTGGTAAGTCATTTAATGTCTACCTCATCTGTAGACACCCAAAAAGTGGTAGGTCATTTGATATCTACCTCATCTGTAGACACCCAGAAACTGGTAAGTCATTTGATGTCTACCTCATCTGTAGACACCATGAAAGTGGTAAGTCATTTGATGTCTACCTCATCTGTAGACACCCAGAAAGTGGTAAGTCTTTTGAGGTCTACCTCATCTGTAGACACCCAGAAAGTGGTAAGTCATTTGATGTCTATTTCGTCTGTAGACACCCAAAAAGTGGTAGGTCATTTGATGTCTACCTCATCTGTAGACACCATGAAAGTGGTAAGTCATTTGATGTCTACCTCATCTGTAGACACCCAGAAAGTGGTAAGTCTTTTGAGGTCTACCTCATCTGTAGACACCCAGAAAGTGGTAAGTCATTTGATGTCTATTTCATCTGTAGACACCCAAAAAGTGGTAAGTCATTTGATGTCTACCTCATCTGTAGACACCCAGAAAGTGGTAAGTCATTTGATGTCTACCTCATCTGTAGACACCCAGAAAGTGGTAAGTCTTTTGAGGTCTACCTCATCTGTAGACACCCAGAAAGTGGTAAGTCATTTAATGTCTGTCTCATCTGTAGACACCCAGAAAGTGGTAAGTCATTTGATGTCTACCTCATCTGTAGACACCCAGAAAGTGGTAAGTCATTTGATGTCTGTCTCATCTGTAGACACACATAATTGGTAAGTCGTTTGATGTCTACCTCATCTGTAGACACCCAGAAAGTGGTAAGTCATTTAATGTCTGTCTCATCTGTAGACACCCAGAAAGTGGTAAGTCATTTGTTGTCTACCTCATCTGTAGGCACACAGAAAGTGGTAAGTCATTTGTTGTCTACCTCATCTGTAGGCACACAGAAAGTGGTAAGTCATTTGTTGTCTACCTCATCTGTAGACACCCAGAAAGTGGTAAGTCATTTGTTGTCTACCTCATCTGTAGGCACACAGAAAGTGGTAAGTCGTTTGATGTCTGTCTCATCTGTAGACACACATAATTGGTAAGTCGTTTGATGTCTATTTCCTCTGTAGTCACACAGAAAACACCAGATAATGTCTCTTTGTCTGGTGTAAGAGCTGGAGGAAATGGTGGCTACAGCTATCAATTTTATCTATAGACACAAAAAAGAATGAAATCACCACATTCCACCTCAGTTTGTTGGTCAACAAAAAATCAGATTACGTGATTTGATAAAGAAGCACTGAAAAAGGGGAAAAAACTGTCTCTGGTTAAGTTATCTTAGACCAAATTTGATGACATAGGTCATACTGAATTCACAGATCTAAATAAGTAAAATTTGTTGTATACAATTGTTCTGAATTAAGTGATTTAAGCACAGATAAGTTAATCATGGAAGGCGAGATGTATTGCAAGGAATGTTGAGGTAATCAGACTTGGTTATGTACACAGGGACATTCTGGGTTATCAAGATACAGCCTACTTGAATGAGGTGTGTGTGTTTGTTCTTGTATTTACTTGGACTTGTTTGTCAACAGTCAGACCACGATATTGGGTATCCACCATTGTACAGTTCATGTAGCGCTTTGTAAATCACTTCACTACAAATAAGACTGTTCTGGTCAGACCAACACTGGACACTTGACCAGTGGTCACTTCACGACAAATAAGACTGTTCTGGTCAGACCAACACTGGACACTTGACCAGTGGTCACTTCAGTACATGTAAGACTGTTCTGGTCAGACCAACACTGGACACTTGACCAGTGGTCACTTCACGACAAATAAGACTGTTCTGGTCAGACCAACACTGGACACTTGACCAGTGGTCACTTCAGTACATGTAAGACTGTTCTGGTCAGACCAACACTGGACAGTTGACCAGTAGTCACGTCCAAGTTACAAAGATACATGTTCTAGATAGACTTGATTCCATCTTTCCATTCTATATTGTATCCCACAAACGAGCTTTAGGCTGTTAATGGTAGACCAGGTACGCCTCAGTCCAGGTGTTGTGGTTATTATGAGATATCATTAACATATTGGTACAGAAATGTGAGGAATTTAAAAGTCAAAATGAGATCCATTACGCCCAAACAGGCAACTAAAAGCTCCACCAGAAACTTCCATCTTTGTGTCGTCTGCTCAGCTGTTCTGCTGACGGTGTTGCCAATATCCCACGTGTATGCGTGTAATCTTGTGTGTATTTCATTGTCAGAAGTCTTAAACATGTTTCAAGTTGAATGCATGTTGAGTCATTCGTAAGCTCATTAATAAGAATTGAAATATAATCACAGTGCACAATGTGACTATTACAAAATATACATTAAGGCATGTGGCTCTGTAATTTAAATTTTCAAAGTTCACCTACCTAACTGCTAGTCGTAGTATAGCAGATGATTACACACACTAAGTAGTAGGATTTGAAGCCATAAAGATACAGCTTTTGTAGAGAAGAAATTGCATCTGATATTTTGTGATGTGTAAATGCATCTCTATCATAAAAAGGTACCATGCTGCTTATTCTATCATGAAACGAAATAAGTTATCTTAGTTCCATACTCACAAAGTGGAGGGGCTACGGCCAGGTGTTTCACAGAAGGACCTCATTAATGTGTTCGACTACAAGTAAACCTGATGTCTTAATGAAAAAAATGATCTACTAAAACTGGGATGGGGCTTATAACTACCAACATTTGATCCTATTAAAGTTTCCTCCACCCTACCTTGACTTAATTGGATGTGTACAGATGTTTGAGTAAATATTTCTGTTGATACAAGATACCTCACACTGATAAAAGAAAATCATTGTGTATTTTTAGATTGATAAAATTCATATCATATTTGGAAAATTCAGTGCCAGAATGTGTACATTCATATAAGGGACTATTCTTTTTAAAAATATGGAAATTAAACAATTGTTCTTGTGAATATTGAGTAGGAAGAGCTAAAATTTAAGCACCTACCCTTTTTTCGTAGACAATTACACCAGAGTAAGTAAAGAGACTTAAAATAGTTACAAGAGTGTACATTTTTTGTAGTGAAATACGCTATTCAGGTTGTTCTCATTGAGATAAAACCTGAATGGTAGATCTTCCTAGTCCTTGATCAACTCATGTAGCATTGAATATAGCCTCAAATTGAATAAAAAAAAACAAAAGATAAAATTGACGGATGATTGGAAAAGTTACCTCAGCGATTTAGCATCTGATCTTAGTTGGTTTGGAAAATTAAGAAATAAATTAGAAATTCTCTTTCTATTTGACAAGGAGCTCAATTTTAGCACATCAGATATGTAAAATACAATGAGAGCTGTAAGTTGTCAATAATTTGATCATACCATATGTGGAATCTGTGCATTCTTAAGGAGCGCACCACAAAAAATGAGTTTATGATAATTTATATCCCCAATTTTACTGGCCATGACACTAATGTATTCCAATTAGGATTCCACACAAAAAATCACAGACATATAAAACCTTGATTGTTAAAACGTCAGCATTCTGTATTGTAATCTCAACTTCCTCTTACTCTCTCATTAACTTGTAGACACAAAGCCATTCGCTTAAATAGCAGAAAATGGGTAATTTTGAAATACAGATATTATACTGGAGTAATTGAAAGCAAGGAATGAGAAAATTATTTCAATTATCTACTTGGTAATTTAAATATTTGTCAGACTTTTCCACTGATCTCCTGTTTAAGGTCAGTAGCCACTGATAACTGCTTTAGACTATGAGCTAAAGTGATTAGTTTTAACTTAAGGGAAAAAAACATGCCTGTAAGCTATTGGTGATAAATGGTTTTAATGACAGAGATATCTGGCAGTATGCTGTTTGTGATATCAAGGGCTTGATGACAGAGATATCTGGCTATAGGCTGTTTGTGATATCAAGGGATTTTGACAGAGATATCTGGCTATAGGCTGTTTGTGATATCAAGGGCTTGATGGCAGAGATATCTGACTGTAGGCTGTTTGTGATATCAAGGCTTGTTGACAGAGATATCTGACTGTAGGCTGTTTGTGATATCAAGGCTTGTTGACAGAGATATCTGGCTGTAGGTTGTTTGTGATATCAAGGCTTGTTGACAGAAATATCTGGCTGTAGGTTGTTTGTGATATCAAGGCTTGTTGACAGAAATATCTGGCTGTAGGTTGTTTGTGATATCAAGGCTTGTTGACAGAGATATCTGACTGTAGGCTGTTTGTGATATCAAGGCTTGTTGACAGAAATATCTGGCTGTAGGTTGTTTGTGATATCAAGGCTTGTTGACAGAGATATCTGACTGTAGGCTGTTTGTGATATCAAGGCTTGCTGACAGAGATATCTGGCTGTAGGCTGTTTGTGATATCAAGGGATTTTGACAGAGATATCTGGCTATAGGCTGTTTGTGATATCAAGGCTTGTTGACAGAGATATCTGACTGTAGGCTGTTTGTGATATCAAGGCTTGTTGACAGAGATATCTGGCTGTAGGTTGTTTGTGATATCAAGGCTTATTGACAGAGATATCTGGCTGTCGGCTGTTTGTGATATCAAGGTTTGTTGACAGATATCTGACTGTAGGCTGTTTGTGATATCAAGGGTATTTGACAGAGATATCAGGCTGTAGGCTGTGTGTGATATCAAGGCTTGTTGACAGAGATATCTGGCTGTAGGCTGTTTGTGATATCAAGGTTTGTTGACAGATATCTGACTGTAGGCTGTTTGTGATATCAAGGATTTTTGACAGAGATATGCAGGCTATTAACATTTGTTATAAGTAAACACAAATGATTTCCTGGTATTTACATAGGTATTAGATGTTTTGTTTCTCTGTAAATTGTTAAAAAAAGACATAATTTGTGGTAATTTAGGTTTAGATATATTCATGTTTACATATTTTGTTATTTATATATTACAGATAGTAGTTTTGTCGAACTCAAGAAGGCGCTTTTGTTGATTCTTGGCTGTGCCGTTCAGTGTGAGCGCAAGGAGGACTTCATTGATGGTATCAAACGCCTTGATGTTGACGTCCAACATGCCATTGTCGAACACATCAAGGAGGTGAATGTTTATTTGTTTCAGATTTCACCACACAAGTTCAAATATTGGCCTGTATAGATAATGACTACTTTTCTAGTCATCTTCTTTTATGGAAATTCATGGTGAAATATATAGGTGGTTGTTTTCAATTACGTATGGGGCCTTCAATCATTGCCTATACACAGATCAGACTTGTTTTCAATTACACAAGGGATGTTTGACCCTGATGTTTGAGGCTGAGTGTCTGGCAATCTATGTGGCCAGGCGGGTGTCTACTTTGTAACCTGTTAATATCCGTACTTACTTTCACTGTGTTTTTGTGTTGCATTTTTATGTAAACGGTGTGAAATAAGGACGAAAATTTTTCTTTTGAATTTTAACAGTGTATATAACTTTTGTGATTTTTGTTTCATAACAAAAATGACAATTCATGTGTGATGAAAATTCATTTATTTATTTATTTTACATTGCAGGTCACAGATGATACTGATTGTGTGTTGTCTATGGAGCCGACAGAACATTTGGAGACATACACGGAAAAGATGTTCAATCACTTGACCCGAGTTCTACGAGAACGGGATGATTTGGTTGAGGTAACTTGTTGAATAACCTTGATATAGATAGTTATTTTTAATATTTCCAGGTTCAGCAGCTAATTGGGATCGGTTTGCAAAGTGTTTTCAAATGAAGTAAATACATGTAATATGATATAGTTTAGGAGAGATTTTTTCTCAAGAACTTTTAAAGAAAGATACGAAGATTTAAAGTATGAAAATTATCTGAACATAGAGACTCACACTGTGCTGTATATATGTTCTGTCAGGTGACAAATGAGTTAGCTCAGGAGCGTGACTTCTACCAGTCTCAGATACAGGAAGCGCCCCAGCTGAATGTAACCCCTCCGACGTCCAGTCCCGATAAACATCATACGGTGGTCGAGCTGGCAGACGCTAAGGCTAAAATACGAAAGCTACGTCAGGAACTGTAAGTATTAGACATCCAGTCATCTGTGTGGCGTATCCTGTTATATGTCCCATACAATTGCCTGGTTCTGTCATGTCCAGAGTACTACACAAGTCCTTACCATGTCCCTGGTCCTGTCCTGAGTCCTTCACAATGTCCAGAGTACTACACAAGTCCTTACCATGTCCCTGGTCCTGTCCTGAGTCCTTCACAATGTCCAGAGTACTACACAAGTCCTTACCATGTCCCTGGTCCTGTCCTGAGTCCTTCACAATGTCCAGAGTACTACACAAGTCCTTACCATGTCCCCGGTCCTGTCCTGAGTCCTTCACAGGTCCTGATTAAGTCCTTTGTAAGTCCAAAGTTCTGTCTAGAGTCCTTACACAAGTTCCAGGTTCCACATGTAAACATCTCTTTTCTTAATATAGCATAGGCCTAGTTCTCATAGAGGCAGAAAATCTTAATATCTACTAGTCTGTCATGCAATTTCCTTCACAGATTTCAGGATAGAAAAATTTGCAAACGGTATCACAAAAAATTAAGACAAGGATAATAAACCATGATAACAGTATAAAGATTTATATATTTCACCATAATGACACCATGTCAATGACTTCTCCTCAAGTTAATGGACAAATAGTGTCATAAAGTGACATGTAATGTCATGTCTTTATTTGAGAATGTGCATGACCCTCTGTGGAGAGTTGAGGTCAGAATACTCAAATGTGCATGACACTCTGTGGAGAGTTGAGGTCAGAATACACAAATGTGCATGACACTCTGTGGAGAGTTGAGGTCAGAATACACAAATGTGCATGACACTCTGTGGAGAGTTGAGGTCAGAATACACAAATGTGCATGACACTCTGTGGAGAGTTGAGGTCAGAATACACACCATTGTTCATAGTTTCTTTGTTTGTGTAACATTATTGAGACAGATGTTATGTGTTGTAGGGAGGACAAACAGGAACTCATCACCGACCTCAAGGACGATCAGGAGGAAAACAAAATCATCGTCACTAAACTGCGGAACGAGGTGAGGCGCCACCTAGTCACCCAAGTTGTTCTCATTTTTTACTACTGAAAATAATATAAACACACAGGAATAATAAAGATAATGAAAATAGAATTTTATTCTCAAAAATATCTATTACTTGGCTATCTGTTAATGCCAAGTGGACGATAATTGGATAACATATATTCCAAGATATTTTGTTAATGTTGTGTTGTTGATAGAATCACGTGTGTACCTTTTTTTTAAAAAGAACAGAGTATTTTATTTTTTGTCAAGATCAGATATTACACGATTGCTTTTGAAAACCAATATTTTGAGATAAATCAAGCTTTTCAATACAAATCCATTCAAACTTGTGTAGACCCCAAAACAATCCTTTTCAATAGTTTTACTTCTACAGGAAACTTAGAGGTAAGGTCAGCTTTGGAAATGGATTGAACCCTGATAAATATCACAAGGGAGCATCATATTATGAATATGCTACATGGTGAATGAAAAACAAATGAAAACAAAAATTCATCCTCACAAAATGAATAGAGGTAGAAACACTCATCTCCTTACCTTGTAGGCTAATCTTATATTTCAATATTGACAGAATGTGGAACTGATCCAGGATGCCCGGTCAGCACGGTCACTTCGGGATGAACTGGACATTCTTAGAGAAAAGGTCAGTTGGAATCTACTCAGGTACTTAATAAAGTGTTGTTTATCTGGTGACAGTTATGTAGCTAATAAGTGTTTGTCCGTCAGAAATAAATCTGTCAATGGCTTAAACATAAGCTACAAAATATGATTTCTTAATAAAAAAAGGTTTGTATCTAACTAGACACAAGGATTGTGTACTGCCAAACACTGTTAAGCAATTCAAGGGAAGTAACTCTTTATTTTATTGGTTTACAGTTTGGTAAAGTGAAGAGCTATGAGAGTGAGATCACAAAGATGAAGGAGAAATTGAATGAATTGGAATTCTACAAATCACGTGTAGATGTAAGTACAGTTAATCCCCTTTAGTAAGGAAGACCAGAGTTACTATGAACCTTGTTCATTAGAACATTTTTCATTGGGAAAACATTGTCAAGTTTTACATGTGGTACCTATCATTAATATTCATGGAATCATATGGTAATGTTTGATGGTTAAATTTGACACCTGTCTGTGATATTTCACGGTTACATTTGAAACTTGTCTGTGATATTTCACGGTTACATTTGACACTTGTCTGTGATATTTCACGGTTACATTTGACACCTGTCTGTGATATTTCACGGTTACATTTGACACCTGTCTGTGATATTTCACGGTTACATTTGACACCTGTCTGTGATATTTCACGGTTACATTTGACACCTGTCTGTGATATTTCACGGTTACATTTGACACTTGTCTGTGATATTTCACGGTTACATTTGACACCTGTCTGTGATATTTCACGGTTACATTTGACACTTGTCTGTGATATTTCACGGTTACATTTGACACCTGTCTGTGATATTTCACGGTTACATTTGACACCTGTCTGTGATATTTCACGGTTACATTTGACACCTGTCTGTGATATTTCATGGTTTCAGGAATTACGAGAGGACAATGCCATCTTGATAGAAACAAAGAATATGCTTCAGGAACAGCTAGATAGTTGTCATAAACGCGTGGAAACCGTCATCGCACTGGAGAATGAGCTCGGACGGTACAGACAGCAAGTTGAGGAACTGGCAAAGGTAGGTCTTACGTCAACACACATTCTAAAACAAGTTAATGGTCATCACCTGCTTCTTAAAAAACTGGATGTCCAGGTTGTTGCATTGAACTGCAATAGTGAACTTGAGTAAGTAGTGTTATACTGTAGAACTCTGTGATAAAAATTTTGATAAATCATTTATATCTCGTTTTATTTCTGAAGTAGAAGAGTTCAGTCATTATGGATCTGATAGATCAACCAAGGTTAAAACAAAGTTCAAGCAAACTCAAACCTACAAAGGCTTCTGAGTATTGGCGGTCAAACGATCTGCAAAAGGCGGTTTTGACCACCAAAGTATTACTGTGCTTGTCTTTGCTTTCATGACATTTTCTTTGCGGAATTAAACCCTTAGCCTTATATATAATCATGAAGAAGTATTTATGTTCTATAATAAAGAGCAATTTTTATATCAATTTGACAGGAACGAGATACAGACAGACAAAAAATACAGATTCTCACAGAGGAAAATGCTAACCTACAGTTTGAGAAGAAAACCAACATGAACGAGAGTACCAACATTGAAAAGGAATTGGAATCTGCTCGTCTTAGGATAGCAGGTGGGGACATGTTATACTCCACTCATACCGTTATGTTCTGTATCAAGATTTGTTCCTTCAGATGAAACTGAGATCACAGACAAAAATAAAAAGGCCATTTACTTTGCGTCACAAAAAACCATGAAACTAATACAGCAGAAATATAAAGAATTAAATACAAAACTTAAAGTGATATTGATTTGTGATAAAGTATTGGACTGATGTAAACACAATTTGTTGGTTTTTACTAGAGTGTAGTCATCTTCTCCAATTAACAATAATTTATGATGTGATTTTTGAAGAGAAAACTTTCTACCAACACAAAAAATGTTAAACAGAAAATTCTCTTCATGAAACGACAAGATTTTAGACATGAAATGTCAAACAAATCAAGTTAGAACTTATAGATTCTGTGAGAGTTTCTCTTTACCGAATTTAGCTTACAAAAAGCCCAAGTCTGGTAATAAGCCCATACCAGTTGATTTTTAATGATAATGTTTATTAATAAGCAATGTTTTTTCCGCGCTGGGCATATTACGGGATAAATATATGGTAGTGAATGGACTATAATTTAGAGCCTGTTGTTTTGATTGTTCATGTTGTTTGACATGTTACTTTGGATTTTTTAGGCATGGGAGGATCCTTGTCCAATCAACTTAATGAAACAACTAATGCTAAAATTCTGAGGCTGGAATTGGAGAATCAACGATTACAGCAGAAACTGGAAGAGGCCAGAGAAAGTGCTCTCATAGAAAATACCACGCTTACGTTAGAATTGGAAAAGGAGAATCAGCGATTGGCCAAAAAGGTTGAAAAACTTCAAGAATCTAGTCGTGAAATGTCACAGACTCAAATCGAGCTGGAGCAAAAACTTGACGAGTTTGTTCATGAAAAAGAACAGCTGTCACAAACTTTAGAAACTGTGAAGGAAAGTGCTGATAGACAGATTCGTGAATTAGAACGCGAAAACGATCATCTTACTGATACTGTTGATACTGTTCGGGCTCGCAGTGAACAGACCAATGATGCAAGGCTCAAAGATCTTGAGCGTGAAAACAAGCGCATGCATGATACAGTAACAGCGAAAAACCAATTATTGTCTAAAATGGAATTTGAAAACAGGCAAATGCAAAAATCTTATAATAAGATAAAGCAAAGCTCGGATAAGTTGTCGGAATTAGAAACTGAAAGTGCAAATCTGGAAAAAGAAAACTCAGATTTACACAAAACTGTGGCAACTCTACAGCTAACCTGTGATAAGTTTGAGGAAATTGAACAAGAAAATTCTGATTTGGAAGTGGAAAATAGAAAACTGAAGAAAAATGTGGAGTCTCTTCAAAGTGCTTTACAAAAAATGGATCAGCTGGAAAAAGAACACATCAATTTAAACGTAGAGAATCAAAAACTTCAGAGAAGTTTAGATTCTCTGCGGAATTCGTCATCAAAACTTGTCGAGGTAGAAAGTGATAAAGATTCTCTGAACCGTGAAATCCAGCAGCTCAAGAAAACTTTAGAAGTACAACGTAGTCATCAGGTTAAGCACGAACAAATGGAGTTGGATTTGCTTGATCTAGACAATGAAAACCAACGGCTCCAGAAATCGCTAGAGATGACCATCAGACGTCTAGAGCAGCTGGAGCATGACAATACCGATATGGAAATAGAAAACGAGAAATTACAGAAAAATGTAGAAACTTTGAAAGTGTCGACAAAACGCCTCCAGGAACTAGAAAAAGCCAATGTAGAGTTGGATGGGGAAGTGTCGAGGCTTGCCAAGGACAAATCTGTGTTAAGTAAAGAGAAAAGTCGTTTAAAGCAGTCCATCGAATTGAAAGATTCTGAACTGGATGATTTGACTTCAAAACACAGTCAATTAGAACGAACAAATCGAAACTTAAAGCAGCAGATCGATAGACAGAAAGACACAACAGCAAATATTACGGAAATTGAGAAAGAAAATAAGGAATTACAACAGCAGGCCAATGTCACCAAAAGAACAATGGCAGCCCTCCGCGAGGTAAGTAGTTATCTCCCCTATTTAGTTCTTTTTTGTGGTTTTAGTATAATAATGACTTATCATTATCTAAAGGTCAATGTTGGTATATTTTGGACCAAAACTTGTACTGCAGAAAACCGTGATAGGTGGCTAGTTCTCCAACAGATAAATACATGTTTGAAAAATATAATATTGTACTTTTCAAATCTGTGAAATTAATGACAACATGCAAATAGTGTTCTGATTTAGATACTGTTTTTTCATGTATCAGTCATAAAATAAATGTGATAGGTATTTTTCTGATTTATGTAAACATTCCTCAATGTAGCAGTTAACTTTCATGAGTTGGTGAGTTAATTTATGTCTAAGGGTTTATGCTCAGTCTGTCAGTCTGTTAAGTTAGGCCTGTCAAGCAAAGGTTCCCAGTGATGATAAATATAACATTCACCTCAGTGACTGGGGTTCATCTCAGATCAGAGAAGTAAGGCTACCTTCCACACCTGGTGTGTTTTCTCGAGATACTCAAAATTTATCCCACATGGAGACCTTTAATTTGTGTACTGACATTTGGGCCAACAAGTATGCATGTGATCGATACAAGTTCATGTTACATACTAAAAATTTATTTAGATCTACTTATAGTTTGTGTCTTTGTAACAAATTTCCAGCTACCATATCAACTAGAATTCCAGGAGAAATGTTACACATGTAAAATTATATCTCAAAAATACTTATATATACTTCTTCTGTACCTCTATATACAGATATCTAGAGTTATTGCCCTTTGTTCAGCTCTTTCTAGGGAATATCTTTTGCCTGTATAGTATTTCTTCTGGGACTGGGACAATACAGTAACTGTACAATGGATTACGGATGCTTAACATAGTACTTCTGACAAACCCATTCAGGTTTGTCAGTCATGATGTTTTGATTCATTTTGAATGACCTTTTACAAGCTCTATCAGATTGACTTAATGCACCAGAATCAACCAATCACATGGCTTCTTTTACTTTGATATTAGGACTTAAGGTATTCACAAAACATCTGTATACTTAACACTGTTAGAGGACAGAGGATATGTATCCACAATGTTTTATCTGGATCAGTGCTAGTGCTGGTATTGCATATGATGTGCATTATGATTCACTGATACACTCAATACATGTCCCCACTTTAAAGTCTTCTCCAATATTTTCCAAATAGTGTATATTATTTGGAAATGGGGTCACTTGCCACACTATATACAGAGTTATGGCCCTTAATTTCTCAAGTCAGACTATATTTCATATGTGTTGAGGCTGCATGGTGAACATTCAATGTTTATTGACTCTGAACAGGACATAACGTGAAATTTACAGACTTACACATCATTAACATCATCTTTTCAAATTTCTGTTAACTGACCATTCGTATGTTTTCAACCATTACGTCATATAGATGTCATTCACCATTGAGTTTGAGTTATTCTGTTGGTCATCTGTCATTTTCCTCTTTATTTTTTAGGACCTTGTGAATGAAAAGGTACGGAGCCAACAGATGAAGAATGAGATGGACAGATTAACACATGACCTGGAACGAGTCGGCATTAATAAGGAGAAGTTAGTCAAGGCAGAAAACTCTCAGGATGACAGGTAAGAATATAAATTTGAGGTTGTATGTCACCAATTTTAATGGATAATGTATTGAAAGTGAACTTAAGACACACAAATGAGTAGCACCTTTTCATAATTTAGAGTGAGAAACAGTAGGTCCAAACAATGAATTAAGCTGCATCATACAGCTGTCTTGTTTGACTAGGACTCGTCAGTGATGTTACATCACACAGCTGTTTCGTCCTTCTAGGACTCGTCAGTGATGTTACATCACACAGCTGTTTTGTCCTTCTAGGACTCGTCAGTGATGTTACATCACACAGCTGTTTTGTTCTTCTAGGACTAGTCAGTGATATTACATCACACAGCTGTTTTGTTCTTCTAGGACTCGTCAGTGATGCTAAGGGCCTACATTTTGAAGCCTAGGAAGCGATTAAGGAAAATCCAAAGTGATCAAAAGAAAAGTCAAAATCCAGACGCGGAGGTGCAGCAGCCCCATAATTAGATAAATTTCATAAGACCGATAAATTTAGAACAGCGTCAGTTACATGTGCCACTATTCGAGTGAATGAAAATGTGGCAAGCAGGTTATGAAAGCAGTTCTTTATTTGACATCAAAAGTAACACAGTATTTTTGACCAAATAAGGGATGTCTTCTGTAGTAGTAAGTTGACTAAATTTCATTGTGGGTGTGCTGTAGGCCAGTAACTGTATGTTGGAATGATTGGAGGAAATGTGTCTTTGAAAAAGTGTGATGAATAAGTCATTAATGTTATCATCATTAGTAAAATGTGTGTCATGGTCATTGATTTTGCATTTTGTCAGTAATCATGATGCAAAAAAGGATCAATCTACGAGACATGGTCTGCATTCCAGACAGTACATTTGTGTTAAAAAAAAAAGAACTACAAATCATTTAACTAGATTTATGTACATGGTTATTCTGATTTATCAAATAACAATGATAAGAAGATAAAGTTGATATGTTGATTTATCAAATAACAATGATAAGAAGATAAAGTTGATATATTGATTTATCAAATAACAATGATAAGAAGATAAAGTTGATATGTTGATTTATTAAATAACAATGATAAGAAGATAAAGTTGATATGTTGATTTATCAAATAACAATGATAAGAAGATAAAGTTGATATATTGATTTATCAAATAACAATGATAAGAAGATAAAGTTGATATGTTGATTTATTAAATAACAATGATAAGAAGATAAAGTTGATATGTTGATTTATTAAATAACAATGATAAGAAGATAAAGTTGATATGTTGATTTATCAAATAACAATGATAAGAAGATAAAGTTGATATGTTGATTTATTAAATAACAATGATAAGAAGATAAAAAGTTGATATGTTGATTTATTTATCAAATAACAATGATAAGAAGATAAAGTTGATATGTTGATTTATCAAATAACAATGATAAGAAGATAAAGTTGATATGTTGATTTATAAATAACAATGATAAGAAGATAAAGTTGATATGTTGATTTAATAAATAACAAATAACAATGATAAGAAGATAAAGTTGATATGTTGATTTATCAAATAACAATGATAAGAAGATAAAGTTGATATGTTGATTTATCAAATAACAATGATAAGAAGATAAAGTTGATATGTTGATTTATCAAATAACAATGATAAGAAGATAAAGTTGATATGTTGATTTATCAAATAACAATGATAAGAAGATAAAGTTGATATGTTGATTTATCAAATAACAATGATAAGAAGATAAAGTTATATAAATAACAATGATAAGAAGATAAAGTTGATATGTTGATTTATCAAATAACAATGATAAGAAGATAAAGTTGATATTTTGATTTATTAAATAACAATGATAAGAAGATAAAGTTGATATGTTGATTTATTAAATAACAATGATAAGAAGATAAAGTTGATATGTTGATTTATAAATAACAATGATAAGAAGATAAAGTTGATATGTTGTTGATAAATTTATTAAATAACAATGATAAGAAGATAAAGTTGATATGTTGATTTATTAAATAACAATGATAAGAAGATAAAGTTGATATGTTGATTTATTAAATAACAATGATAAGAAGATAAAGTTGATATTTTGATTTATTAAATAACAATGATAAGAAGATAAAGTTGATATGTTGATTTATTAAATAACAATGATAAGAAGATAAAGTTGATATGTTGATTTATTAAATAACAATGATAAGAAGATAAAGTTGATAATGATAAGAAGATATTGTTGATAATTTATTAAATAACAATGATAAGAAGATAAAGTTGATATGTTGATTTATCCACTTTCGTGTATTCAGTCTCTGTTTCATTTGTAGATAAATGTATTTTACTACATGAGTTGTATCATCAGCTGTGGTACAGAAACCCCATAGTATCGCCACCCTCATTATATCACCATAGTTAAGGTGGCAGTATAACAGGGACAATTTTACAATAACTGAGTAAGCGGGCTTACAGCTAACATATATTGGGATCTTCAAATATTTAAATATATATGGTTTTCGATAAAGTATGGATTGTGTGGTCTACTTCAATAATGTTTTCTGAATAGCCAGCTTAATGTGCTTCCTGTTTATAATTCATAAAGGAAGATCTACAGCTACCAGGGTTGTATCTAGTACGTGTCAAGTGTCCCATTAACCCAGATGTAATGTTTGAAGAACATAGAATGTAATTGGATAATTTTTAATGAATGTGTTATCTATTCACTCAGATCAATAATTTGACCTGTGATAGCACTTGAATATATTATTGATACTTGAGTTATGTTCTCTAAGTAAATAAAAATCTATAGGTAATAATATCTATAATTGATAATCTTAATACTTGTTTACTGTAGAGATAAGTAAATAAGAAGCATGGAAGAGAATATCAATACTGGGTGATCCTTCACAGCTTCTGGGTTAATGTCTGTTTGTTTAAAGTTTGTACAAAAACTGTAGGATAAAGATAGAAAATTTGGTAGTGTTACCGAAGACAGTTACCAGAGACAGTTTAATATGTGTATCTTTTATCAAGGCTTACAGTAAACTTGAAATATTCAATATTTTTATGTTGAAAAAATGATCCATCAGATATATTAAGATTACTCTAAAACAGAATAAATCCTCAAAATGATTACTCTTAAACAGAATAAGTCCTCAAAAAGATTACTCTAAAAGATAATACTCATTGAAACAGAATAAGTCCTCAAAAAGATTACTCTGAAACAGAATAAGTCCTCAAAAAGATTACTCTAAAACAGAATAAGTCCTCAAAAATATTACTCTAAAACAGAATAAGTTCTCAAAAAGATTACTCTAAAACAGAATAAGTCCTCAAAAAGATTACTCTAAAACAGAATAAGTCCTCAAAAAGATTACTCTAAAACAGAATAAGTCCTCAAAAAGATTACTCTAAAACAGAATAAGTCCTCAAAAAGATTACTCTGAAACAGAATAAGTCCTCAAAAAGATTACTCTGAAACAGAATAAGTCCTCAAAAAGATTACGCTAAAACAGAATAAGTCCTCAAAAAGATTACTCTAAAACAGAATAAGTTCTCAAAAAGATTACTTTGAAACAGAATAAGTCCTCAAAAAGATTACTCTAAAACAGAATAAGTCCTCAAAAAGATTACTCTAAAACAGAATAAGTTCTCAAAAAGATTACTTTGAAACAGAATAAGTCATCAAAAAGATTACTCTAAAACAGAATAAGTCCTCAAAAAGATTACTCTAAAACAGAATAAGTCCTCGAAACAGAATAAGTCCTCAAAAAGATTACTCTAAAACAGAATAAGTCCTCAAAAAGATTACTCTAAAACAGAATAAGTCCTCAAAAAGATTACTCTAAAACAGAATAAGTTCTCAAAAAGATTACTTTGAAACAGAATAAGTCATCAAAAAGATTACTCTAAAACAGAATAAGTCCTCAAAAAGATTACTCTAAAACAGAATAAGTCCTCGAAACAGAATAAGTCCTCAAAAAGATTACTCTAAAACAGAATAAGTCCTCGAAACAGAATAAGTCCTCAAAAAGATTACTCTAAAACAGAATAAGTCCTCAAAAATATTACTCTGAAACAGAATAGGTCCTCAAAAAGATTACTCTAAAACAGAATAAGTTCTCAAAAAGATTACTTTGAAACAGAATAAGTCATCAAAAAGATTACTCTAAAACAGAATAAGTCCTCAAAAAGATTACTCTAAAACAGAATAAGTCCTTGAAACAGAATAAGTCCTCAAAAATATTACTCTGAAACAGAATAAGTCCTCAAAAAGATTACTCTAAAACAGAATAAGTCCTTGAAACAGAATAAGTCCTCAAAAATATTACTCTGAAACAGAATAAGTCCTCAAAAAGATTACTCTAAAACAGAATAAGTCCTCAAAAAGATTACTCTAAAACAGAATAAGTCCTCAAAAAGATTACTCTAAAACAGAATAAGTCCTCAAAAAGATTACTCTAAAACAGAATAAGTCCTCAAAAAGATTACTCTAAAACAGAATAAGTCCTCGAAACAGAATAAGTCCTCAAAAAGATTACTCTAAAACAGAATAAGTCCTTGAAACAGAATAAGTCCTCAAAAATATTACTCTGAAACAGAATAAGTCCTCAAAAAGATTACTCTAAAACAGAATAAGTCCTCAAAAAGATTACTCTAAAACAGAATAAGTCCTCAAAAAGATTACTCTAAAACATAATAAGTCCTCGAAACAGAATAAGTCCTCAAAAAGATTACTCTAAAACAGAATAAGTCCTTGAAACAGAATAAGTCCTCAAAAATATTACTCTGAAACAGAATAAGTCCTCAAAAAGATTACTCTAAAACAGAATAAGTCCTCAAAAAGATTACTCTAAAACAGAATAAGTCCTCAAAAAGATTACTCTAAAACAGAATAAGTCCTCAAAAATATTACTCTGAAACAGAATAAGTCCTCAAAAAGATTACTCTAAAACAGAATAAGTTCTCAAAAAGATTACTTTGAAACAGAATAAGTCCTCAAAAAGATTACTCTAAAACAGAAT